ACCTATCCCCGGAAAAATGCGATAGGTCCAATGTTTGAATCCGATGCCAATAAGATAATCTGCACAAAAAGGGTTGGCAGTCTTGATCTCATTGGAATGTTGTGTAGAATTTTGTAAGGCGATATGTTCTTGCTGCCTTTCCCATCAGAAAAACTAGATGCTTGTCTTTGAAGTAATTGTGTATATTTCTCTTCAAATGCAGAATGTATGCGCAGTGTTTCTCATTAGAATAAACTTACATTGATAACCGTCAGCGTTAAATTCAGTAAGAAAACCATGTTCAATTATTTTACAACCGGTTATGTGACCAGTTAAGTTATTTGTAACAACTAGGTTATTTTGAAATTTTATGGTAAAATTTGTGATACCCTTACCAAACTGTAGAATATGGAAGGATGTCGGTCAGACACAAAAAAAACTTCTTCAGTGTTAGGGATGAACTTTTGGAGATTTAAAAAAAAAATCATTCCCAACTCTTGTCATTTTCTCCATCAACAATAGCAACGGCCAACGGGAAAACTTGATAATTTCCATCATGTGATGATGCTGTCAACAAGCAGCCGGCAAATTTACCTCTTAGATGAGTGCCATCAACAATGACCACTTTCCTCATATATCTGAATCCGGCTATTGAAGCACCCAGCGCCATGAACATGAATTTAAAATGTTCCCCAATTCATTCCACGAACTCTGTATGCAGGATTGAAATGGTTCCTGGATTTGCAGTGACCAATTGTACCGCGAAAGTAAATTATATGACGTCCCACTTGTGCCCTTTCCATAGTCTAAAACAACCTCCCTTGACCTCAGGCTTTCGAGTAAGAAATTTGGACATCATGGTCTCCTCCCATAACTTGCATGATTTTGCTTGGTCTTGGACCACCACCGTTTCCAGTAAAACGTGCTTTCATAACCGCTCTGATTACAGTATGTGTAGCTTGAGCATGGTAACCAGATCTCTCGTCCACTGAGAAAGTATGATGAAGTTTGACCCGCCTTACTTCATACAATTCAGTGTTTTTCAAAAGCACATCATACACACGCCATTGTGCACTATGGACTGAAACACCGCAAGACCATTCCATTTGGTGCTGACCTATTGTTTGTGAATTTCTTCCTTATAGCATAGAAAGCCATATGTTTTTAAATTCTTCACGACTCTTAAAGATCATTCCAACATATACCTCGTTCGGATTGTGAGAGCTTTTGCCTACAAGTTTTAAAGCCACAGTTATTTAAATCCGTTAACTGTCGTTTTATGTATGTTAGTGGGGGACAATTTAAAAGATAAGTAATGTGAACATAAATATCAAACATAACATATCATTATAAATGGTTATAATACAGAGAAAATGTACCAAATACAACAGATCCGGATATGAAACTCATATTTTATATCCAACTATATAAGTTTAAACTTCGGTCCCTTTCACCATCCAATACAGAAAAAACAATTAAAGTTTATACACACCAAAATATAAGCATCCATTTCACCATCCAATACAGGAAAATCCTTGCAAGCATCCAACTATTTAAAAAAATTAAGCATTGCTTTTAAGACATAATTCAAGTTTGATTCAATACCCACCATTGCCAACACCAACATCAGAGGTAGAGTCCTCAACATCGATGAGTGATTCAGATCCTCCTTTTCCACCACTACCACTTATTGTTAGACATAAGTCGAGTGGAGGGTCATTACGGTTATTTATATCAATACCAAAGCTCTCCATTTGAGGTATTCCTTTATTGTTCCCAATATCCATTACCTTTGATGATTCCCTTGCATAAGAGTATACGAAGATTATTACAAGTTTTATATGCTACTACTAAGACGGTGCAAAATTAATCACCAATAAAAACGCATAAGAATTCACATATACCTTTCTCATATTGTGCATTTTCCCCATTCTTGCCAGATCTAACAAAGAGAGGACTTCATTACAAGTTAGACTGTTGACATGGCTACCCCAATCAGCTTTTCCGGAGGAGTCAGCAAAAGAATCCTGCACACCAAGTGAGGTTAATGATTTGTTTTTGCGTTCAAGGTCAGCAACTGCATTGGAGTCAAGATGATTCACATAGTTTCCACTCGTGAAAGCACTACCTTGAGATAACATTACATCCCAAAAACCAGAGCCAACTCCCAGCTCTCTCAAATCTTGTTGAATCCTTGGCATAGTGGGAGATGGGATTTGATTTTCAAACCCATGTTCTTTGCCAATGTCGCATGTTGATATTGGTAGGGGTGATAATCATGTAATATTGGGAATGGTAGTAAAGTTAAATATTCTGAAATGGATGCCATCACAGCACGCAACATGTAACTTGACATAGCTATAATATTTATATTTTTGTAAAACAAACAGATTCATGCCTAATATATACAACCAGACTTATTATATGACACTCTATTTGTGATTTATGTTGCAGTGGTTTTCTCATTTATGTGATTTTAGATTGTTTAAAGGACATAAATATTACAAACCCGGTTTAAAACGAACAAACATTATGAGATATACTATCGGAATTCCATTCACATGGCCTTGCTATATGTAACTTCATTATCTGCGCCTACGTATTCACCGTAATCCTCCTCTCTTATGTATGCATCGATCCACATATCTTCATCAGATAAAGTCCTCTCGGCAAAACGAAACCAGCAGAAAGGTAGATGTTTAAGTTGATGGTGTTTCTGGCCTTCGCAATATCTAGAGAAAGCCTGTGGACAGTTACCTTCTGCTCCTCAGAAAATAAATCAAGTAAAACCCTGATACTGCACTCAAACCCATCATGATGATACATAGCTGGAAAAAAACCTTTACTTTACTCAAATGGAATTACAAAACACAATAATACATACACGTAGCATATGTAAATGATACCTTTAATAGCTGCCAAGTGCTTTTCTTCAGTTATTCCATCACTTAGGAAAGTCATATTTCCAATGTTGAAAGAACTGCGACGGAGGAAACCATACTTGGCAACTCGTTCTGCTCCATATAGAACACAAACGACCTGATAACCGTCCCATTCCCTTATACTCATCATGATCTCAACATCACCGGAAGACAGTAAGGTTTGGGGTGGGGATGCTTCTCCTCCATGGAAAAGCATCCACTGTGGGAGTTTGTATGTTAACATAACTGGGGTTTCGGTTGGGATACCGTAGGCCTCCTTAACAAGTTCCGGAAAATCCTCAATGGTTTCGTGCTCCCTTGAGATACACATGTGTGTAAAGATGAAGAACCCAGTTGCTACATGAGCATTTAATGTGCACAACCTATCTGCACATAGGTAGGTGGATATAATTAGATATCTGACAAGCATATCAACAAAAATTAATTTTTAATGAGGTAATTATCTGATAAGTCTAATCTTAAAGCCACTTGCAACATACAAAATATTTTTCTTAGTCGGGGATGTACACGATGACACTTTCATTTCCAGCCACCTGTCCATAACAAATCCAACAATATTACATTTAGGGATAAAACTTGATAGTGACATTTATATCCAGTTTACCGTAACTCAAGTTCGTTACTAGTAGAGGATTTCATCTTTAGCATGTGCAAATATAATACTTTTTCAAATGTAAATGCAAGTGACCATCTATATGGGACACGTGGCATGCCCATTCGCTATTAATTACCCTTTCTTCCTTATCCGTAAATCACTTCTCTGCAAATTTCTCTCTAAAGGGTTTTCTCTATGTTAATTAGCATGGCACTTAGTCAGAGTTTGAGTCATGTCTCATCTTACCCAATAAACGGTCCTCTTTGCCACTGCTCACATTGAACATTTTTGGTTATGTGGACAGATGCAAACCCAGGACATCACTTCTACAAGTCTTATCTCCATGGATTTTCACTTAGGCCGATACTGAGGAGCCTCACGGATGGCAAAATTTGAGTCTTCTTGAGGCTAGAGACCAGATTCGTCAACTGAGAGAAGACAAGAAATTCGTTTAACGAAATCACAGACCTGCAGAGGCAATTGGTCGTACAGTCAGCCGCCGCACCGGCTCAACGCCTGCTGAAGAAGAAATCGATCAACGCGACATGCTGAACTCTGTTTACAATAACCGCGAGAAAATTTTGCGCCAGTTTTTCTTAATTTCATGGGGGGGGAAGTTCCAGTTTTGTAATGTTTGAATTCGATGTTTTATGTGCACTACTTATGTTTGTCATGTTATGTATCAACTTTTTGTTTTGTATCACCTATTTGTAAAAGTTCTAATCTAATTTTCTTACATGTCTTAATTAATGAAATTACGTAAATTTCATCTGACGCGTCATACAATGGCCTAATACTTCTCTATAAGGAGGTTTGAGTTTAGAGTTCTAAAAAAGAATTATGTAAAATATTAAAAGAATATTTACAAGAAATATTCAGTACAGTGTATTAAATGATATTGTCACTATTTCTATTTGCATGTTTGGTTTGACTCGTTCCGCGTTCAGGCCATGCGGGTAAATTGATTTTCAAATAGTTAAATTTTCATATATAAAACTTTACCGAGTTGCACTGAAAAAATCAGTTCAATTTAGTATTTGGTTAGTTCACTTTATGAATTGAATATTCATTAAGTATTAGGTTTAGCTTCATTAAAAGTTTAGTTAAGTTAAAAGTTTTTTTATTTTGGTTTGAAATATGTAATGGTTAGTTTGATTTAGAATGTGGTTAAAGGAAGAATAAATCAAATAAACCGATATACCGATAATCATTTAAAAAGAAGATTCTGAACTGAAGCATCTGAACTGAAACCCAATTTTTTTTATTTGGTTTGGTTTGTCTGGTTATAGAAAATCATCCCTCATTGATATGATTGTACAAGATGCATGAAACGATACAATACAATAAGAGGAGGTACTGTGTAAGGTAATCCAAACCAAAACAAGAAATACTAATAGATGACTACAATAAATTAAAATAGAGAAATTATTTTCTATGTTATTTTTCTCGTCCAGACTAGAAGCTTTAAAGAAGAAAGAAAAAGCTCAGACATTGGATATAGAAAATGGAAGTTGTTTCTCAAAGAGACCAAGCCTATAGTCACCAAGCTTGGTCTTGTAAGCAGCTGACTTGTACTGTGACCAAGTAAACTCTTTATAAAGCCAATCATCCTGGTTTGGGACAAGGCATGGTAATGGTGAAATCTTCTCAGTTAAGGGAGGACCTGCGAAGTAGATCATTGATAATCTTGACCTCTTCGTGTTTGTGAGGACTCTGTGTTTCACACTCTTGAATCTGCCGTTAGTCAACACCTATAATAGTCAATGTATACCCGCCAAAACGAATATTAGAAAGATGTGATTTATTAATGAACTAATAGTTTATTATAAGTTTCATTAGCTGAGGAGGAGAAAAAAAAGTATACAAGATTCATATACATCATGATTCATGTCATGGTATTTTGTCACGTAAGGCTGTAGTCTACTAGTTTCGATGAATACCTTCATACACCTTATGTAGATGGAAGTTCAAACAAGGTATTTTACACGATTTTCATTTATTATATAGAAATTATTTATAGATATAAAATCATATACCTGATATTTTAATTTAATTTGGTTTTAAATATTGTGCTTGTAATATAGTAAAACGAACCTAAAAGTACAGGATTTTCTCAAAATGTTTCACATTATATTTTCGTCTTAATAAGTTTTAGCACCATTGTTGACAAACAAAAAGTATACAAGATTCATATACATCATGATTCATGTCATGGTATTTTTTCACGTAAGACTGTAGTCTACTAGTTTCGATGAATACCTTCATACACCTTATGTAGATGGAAGTTCAAACAAGGTATTTTACACAATTTTTCATTTATTATATAGAAAGTCTTTATAGATATACAATCTTATACCTGATATTTTAATTTAATTTGGTTTTAAATATTGTCCTTGTAATATAGTAAAACGAACCTGAAAATACAGGATTTTCTCAAAATGTTTCACATTATATTTTCGTCTTAATAAGTTTTAGCACCATTGTTGACAAACAAAATGTATACAAGATTCATATACATCATGATTCATGCCATGNCGTAAGGCTGTAGTCTACTAGTTTCGATGAATACCTTCATACACCTTATGTAGATGGAAGTTCAAACAAGGTATTTTACACGATTTTCATTTATTATATAGAAAGTATTTATAGATATACAATCTTATACCTGACATTTTAATTTAATTTGGTTTTTAATATTGTCCTTGTAATATAGTAAAACGAACCTGAAAATACATGATTTTCTCAAAATGTTTCACATTATATTTTCGTCTTAATAAGTTTTAGCACCATTGTTGACAACCAAAAAAAAATCACTATTTATATATATATATATTGAATCCAGTTTATAAAAAAATTGTATAAATTCGGATATATCTTATTGATTTTTTTTTTTAAAAAACTTCATATGTGAAGTTCCTCATTTATGATGATTGAAAGTAAAATATATATTTTAAGAATATGTTTACTACATTAAAAGAAGAAGTTGGAAAAGAAAGGATACCTGAAGAGTATCTCCGACAATAACGAAGAAAGAAGAGTGATCAGGTGGAACATCGACCCAAGTTCCATCTTTCAAACATATTTGTAGACCTTCCGTGTTGTTTGACCTGAGCACTGACACTAACTGTGGATCAGTGTGCTCACCGAACCCTATCTCTTCCTTGTCTGAAGTCTCGTCCTTCTCCGGGTAATGGTTCATCCTCAGACACGAATCACTCTCCTTCACCTTCACCAGTTTGCTTAGCTTCTCCTTTGGCTCTATCTTTAGCTCCTCAGCTACCATCTGCAGAACTTTGCTCGACATGCCCTTCATCTCCTCCATGTACACTTCCACCACCTCTCTGTTTATGTTTCTAATGTTAGAATATGAGAGACAAGACAAGAAACATGGGAGTTCTATTTTAAGTTTTGTCTTAACCTGAAAGATGCATGGGTGGTTTGGTGGAAAACGGCGGCGGTTTGGGTAGACGTAGGATCACTATTAGCATTGAGGAGAATATATTCAATCCAGCCTATGTCACCATTGGGTCCGATCCGTTTACTACCGTACCCAAACGGGTCGGCTGGACCAGCCTTGTCTTTGAGAGACTGAGGTAAGGCAAAGAACTTGGTGGCCTCTTCCTCCAACTGGGTCAAAAGCTCGGGTCGGACCCTATGGTTGACGACTTTGAAGAACCCTACCTCCTCACAAGCCTTCACAGTTTGGGTTTTGGCATTTTGGTCGGTTAAATTTACAACCGGGATTCGAACCGGACTCGGTTTGCATTTGGGGTTAACATCGACTTGCCTATTAAGAGTGTCTAGCTCTGGCTGTAACAAAACAACCATGGTTTTCAAGATTGTTGCAGATATATAGGAAAGAAGTAGGAGAATGAATTACGTTAACAAGGTGTTTGCTTGGCTTTAATTTATAGTTTGCTTGAGGGAAGATAGTTTTTGCTTTTTTAAATTCTGTTTTGGTTTATTTATATTAGTCTGCTCAGTTTGGTTAATGCAATTTTAGTTGTTTTTATGGGGAATTCATTTGATTGGGATCTTGTTTATTTTGTCTGTTTACAAAATTAATGGTTTGTTGAGAAGGAATAATTCTCGTAAGAATAATGGTAATATGTTATGTTTTAAAAATACTAAAGCAAATAAATAAACATACTTAGAAAAAAATCATGACTTTAGTTCGAATGTTTAAAATTTAATCATATAATATAGGTCTAGCATTTATAATTATTTAATCGTGAATAATGATATTTAAATAGAAGTATATTTTTTGTTTAAAAATAAATGGAAATTTCAGGAGGGTTAACGTACATTTCTTTTTAGTTTAGATTATATCCTGGTAGATGAGTGAGATCTAAAATCAGAAGATAATCTAAAGGTATAGAGATAAAAAAACGTGATTTTTCCTATTATTTTTCGATGTTTAAGTTAGAAAATATGTTACCTTTTGAAGAAGGAAAGTATCTTAATAATAAATATTTAAATTTGAAATACTTTTTAGTCACTCGAGAATGGTAGCGTCTGGATATTTTATAAGCATATGATGAATGTCTGAGGGTTATATCTAGGATTGGGTAAAATATCCGGACCAGAAGAGCCAACCCGAAAATCAAGATCCTAAATTTGATCGGATCCGAAATAAATAATTGAATGAACTCTAAATTGCTATATCTGAAGAATCGGTTTCAAATCTGATCCGTACCTAGAACCGAATGAGTATCCGAATATATTCGAAATATATATCTGAAAATATTATTTATAATTATATTTATATTATTTTAATAATTTTAAATTAAAATTTTAAATTAAATATATTAGTTATTTTGGTATTTTGAGTATTTTTTGATAAAATATGACATTTTGATAGAAAATATCCAAACAACACCGTATCTACCGAGTATTTTTGATTATTTCTAGGTAAAAATAGATAATTTAGATACAAAATATCTGAACCAAATCGAGTAATATGATTATCTTGGATACAAATAAACGAATCTGTTTCGGATACATTGGTTATTTGGTTATTTTCAAGTTCTTATACATCATAACTGAACCCACCTGTATTCAAGAGGATCCAACTCGAACCCAACCCGAAAATGTAATCCGAATGGATTTTGAATTCAAAACCCAAAAAAAACGATATCCAAAGAATTGATTCGTACCCGAACGGATACCTGAATATCGAGGCCTAGGTATATCAAACGAAACCCAAAATGTGTGAGTTTTTGATCAGATCTTTCGGATGTTTACCCATCTCTTATCATTCACTTTTTTTGTAACACTCTCTTATCGATCCATTTCATTCATTCAAGTCTTGTTCGACTTAGAAACGTATCACCACTAACGTTATTTTTCACCTCACGCTATCATTAGAATGGGCATACATTTCTTATCATTATTTTTTTCACCCGCTAACAAATTTTATTGATATCCAAACAACAGCCCTTAGACACTCAAATGCCCCGGGATCGCATTTCCACTTCTTTATACATTTCTTATTATGCACAGCCAAATCTAGCCATCATTTAATACCATCATTACTAATAATATATCTGACGTAACTAACGTTCTTTTGACCCAAAAAAAAAAATTAATACTCGGACTGTAGTTTTGAAGATGGACCATACATATGGAACTTCGAAAATGAATAGTTATAGCACATTTTCAAGTATCGTCTACCACTTGATCACTACCATATAAAATTAATTATTAAGTCATTCTTGATCAATATCAATATCATATCGAAGCATATTATAGAAAAATTCATTACTAATGATATAACATACTAAATAAATAGGCAGTTATGGAAAGAGCTAAAATCCATCTTAGGATTATATTATACTAATTTCTAATATCACCCACACTGGTTAGAACTTTTAAAGAGTTTTTTAGGCATTTTTTGTTAATTATATAGCTAAATCTTATATATTAAAAGAGAAGTCATGACTTCACTTCATGTGTGATATTTTAAAATGAACCATCTAACAGAATTTATAACAGTACATTATTCAATCATTAGTAATATTTATTAGATTCACTAATAACATTTATTGGGCTTACTAGAAATTTTTATTGGGCTAAAAAAAATTAAATGATCCATTGGATTTATAGATATTATAATAAAATACATTTTTAAATTAAACTTATATAATTTGATATTGTAATAGTATAAGTTAATTCTTTATATATTTTGATGTTAACTTTAAAAATTATATAGTTTATTTTTAAAAATAACAAAATCATCATTTTCTAACAATAATTAATCTATACTATATAATAATTAATCATCATTTTTGATATACACATCTTATATAATATATACCAATTTAGAAGTAAAACAAATATTTATACAACAATAAATGAAAACAAATACCCGCGCGGTTGCGCGGGTTGAGATCTAGTCTAATATATTAAAAGAGAAGTCACGACTCTTTTAATGTGTGATATTTAAAATGAACCATCTACTAGAATTTGTCACATTACATTATTCAATCATTAATTAGTAACCTTAAAATTAGTTACATATAATTTTGGGCTTATCCAAAATTTTTATTGGGCTAACAATAATTAGATAACCCATTGGATTTATAGATAATATAATAAAACATATCTTTAAATTAAATGGGTATGATTCAGTGTTGTAATAGTATATCTTCATAAGTGAATTATTTATAATATATTTGTCGATGTTAACTTTTAAAATTATATAGTTTATTTTTTAAAATAACAAAAATCATTATTTTCCAACAATGATTAAGCTATAATACCTTAAACCAATAATTTTTTTTAAGTTATATAGTTTATTCTAAAAATAATAAAAATTAAATGTTTAGTTATTTACTCCATAATATGAAGCTAAAAGTTTTATTTTTGTTAAATTTTCTAAATTTGAGAAATGTTACAATATATTTAAAGATAAGAATCAAACAATATTTTACCAATCTTTACATATACTTACGATTTTAATAATGAAATAATAATTCAAAATAATATATATAGAATAAGATTCAAATATATGTGAACGTTTGAAACAATCTATTCAATGAAAAACTAATATATTATAAATTATTATCTTTTAAAAATTGATATACATATCTCATATATATATATCAATTTAGAAGTGAAAATAAATTGTTTATAATAATTGAAAACAAAATGTTTTTATAAAAAAAATGACAATAAATATCCGTGCGGTTACGCGGATCGAGATCTAGTTAGCATTTAAATGAAACTATGGGGTGAATGGTTGGGAACTTGGGTTGTATCTAAATTTTATGACTTTGTTGAGAATTTTCATTAAAAAGTTTCTCATCTTTCTTTTTTATATATCATTTATTACATATATGTATTGTAAGAAATATTATCACATAGACGTTAAAAATATGAAAATAAAATATTTATTTCACAAATTATTAAGTTATGATTTAAATTAAATAAGTATCATTTGGACAGTAATACGTGAAATTACACATTTAAATAATGACAAATAGAAACTAAAATGTTCTTAACTGTTTTTAATTGAGAACTGGTAAATTTTGTTTGATTAATCTAAGAGTAATACTGATTTATAGAAGTGCTATTTAACTAATCATCAAAGCAAGGTGCACATCCCATGTTACCCCTCTACCACAAGTCCCGAACAAGAGAATCAGTCATCGTTGTCTTCAGTTTTTGAATTTCTTAATTCTGATATATTTTTACTAAAAGTTCTGCAGTGGAAATGTTCTTAGATACGTCTATTGAAGTGCTCTAAAATCAATTGTTTTAAGTATGTTTTTTTGGTAAAAATGCTAAAAATGTTTAAGCATGTTTTATATATTTTATTAGTTTTCAATATAAAATAAGGTTTTCATATTAAAATTAGGGAACCAGTATTAATTTGTGAGATGCGAAATTATATGACTACATAAAAAGAAATAAAGGAACGTTCATCGAAAGTTTCTTAGAAAATATATCATCACTTTTATCAAAAAAATGGATATATATATATATATATATATATATATATATATATCAGCACTAAAAAATAGCATAGTCTCCTTGGCACGTGGAAGTGTAGGGTGCTTCTAATAGTACACATATATCATCTCCTTTTCCCAAGTACGAATATCATGTTTGTACTACGTTTTGTTTTTGGGATAATCTATGTAATGTACGTAAGTACGTTCCAGTGTCCAGTTACATTTTTGCTAAGGTTGTATGTACGTCAAGACTTTTGTTTAAGTTTGACGTGATCTATATAGGGCTGGGCATTTTATCCGTTAAATTTGATTCGATTTGCTATTCGTTTTGATTCGATCCAAAAATTCTGGATATCCGTAAAATTTCGAAGCAAAGCAAATACTAAAAATCAATATCCGTTAATATCGAAGCAAATCACAAATATTAAAATTTTGAGAAGCGGATATCCGATCCGATCCGGAAATATATAAATATATGTATATCTTGATTATATTTAAAATTTTAAATGTATAAAATTATATAATTATTATTCTAGCACATGATTTGAACAATTATATTCACATTATTACTTATATAAAAGTATTACATAAAAAGAGAGAAGAAATTTATGACAATTATATTTTTTCTTAAATTTTGTGTTATTATAATTGTAACTTAAACTTAAAAATTACAAAATATGTAAATTTACTAGTTTTTTAATTTTTATTTTATATATCCTGCAAAAAAATATTTTTGCAAAGCAAATTTGTATCAAAATTTTAAGATTATTTGTATTAATCAAAATGGATGAGATCTCCGTAAATATTCGTAAATATCCGTAAATATCTATTTATTCTCCGAATATCCGTTTTTCCGGATATCCGTATTTTTCG